GGGGTGTTGAATATACAGGTAATTTAGCCTAAAGGTTATTCAAGACCCCCATAAAGTTTCATTTTGTTTATTCTAGAATGAATTTGGAATTTTTTAATGCAATTCTCACAATTTAGGGATGAGTTTTGAAATTTTAATTGAATTTTAAAAGTATTCTAAGTTGGGATTTCACTGATTTACAACAAAAAATGAAAAATTAACTTTAATTGCACCATGAACCATTCTGATTTTGGGAATTTTTATCTTAGATTAAATTTGGGTAATGATTTACCTTTCAGAATCACTTTAATTTTTTAAAAAACTTGCACTAATAAAAAAGTTATGAATCTTTTGATAAAGTGGGTGTCTTTAGGAAAATGACAAATTCATGCTAGGAAAACTGTTGAAATTTGGGTATGAGGGTAGGTGTTTAAGAAATGTCATTGCTGGTGCAAGTATTGTCCGATTGGTCTGAAATTTGGTATGCAGTCTTGATATATATTAAAGTTAATAAATATAAAATTTTATTTCATTTGGATAACTAAAAAGGGTCTATTAGGTCCGGGTACACAGTTATCTTCCCTCAATTTTCGTTGTCCACAAATATAGTTCCCTTTAATTTCAGTATATTTTTTCTTAATTTTTTTTTTTGCCTTTCCTTTGAATTTTTTCCCCTTTTTTTGCTTTTATGTGAATGTAAAGTCATCTAAGATAATTTCTGTAAAATTTCTTTTTGATATTTTGAGCAGAAATGAGTGATTTGGTTGGGTAAACATAGGTGTAATTTCCTCTTTTCGGAAGCTCTCTGGCTTAACCCATACTGGTGTCCTTGTGTTTTGTGTTGCCAAGAGAAAATGAGCCGATGAAGTTTTCTAATTTTTTGATATGTTTTGTGGTTAATGCCAAACTTTATGTACACCAAATCTTGTTAGAAAAGCGCAGGTGGGATTTTTTTTATTTATCATTATGTTATAATAGACAGATAGGGGAAAATAACTGTGTACTCGGACCATAGGTTTCTGACACAGAAAGAATGTGGTCTAAGAACTTGAATTTTTTTAATTTACCTATTATGGTCCAATGTCCAAAATCAAAATACATGGTTAGATTCAGCATATCAAAGAACCCCATATATTCAATTTTTGTTAAAATCAAACAAAGTTTAATTTTGGACCCCAACTTGGACAAACTTGAAAACTTGGCCCATAATCAAAAATCTAAACACATGTTTAGATTCAGCATATCAAAGAACCCCAAGAATTCAATTTTTGCTAAAATCAAACTATGTTTAATTTTGGACCCTTTGGACCTTAATGTAGACCAATTTAAAAAACGGGACTTAAAATTAAAAATCTAAATACACGGTTATATTTGGAATATCAAAGAACCCCAATAATTCAATTTTTGATGAAATCAAACAAAGTTTAATTTTGGACCCTTTTGACCTCAATATGAACCAATTTGATAGGGGGGCCCACAAATAAAAAATCTAAATTCATGGTTAGATTCAGCATATCAAAGAACCCCATATATTCAATTTTTGTTGAAATCAAAAAAAGTTTAATTTTGGACCCCAACTTGGACCAACTTGAAAACTGGGCCCATAATCAAAAATCTAAACACATGTTTAGATTCAGCATATCAAAGAACCCCAAGAATTCAATTTTTGTTAAAATCAAACTAAGGTTAATTTTGGACCCTTTGGACCTCAATGAAGACCAATTTAAAAAAAACGGGACCCAAATTAAAAATCTAAAAACTCGGTTAGATTTGGCATATCAAAGAACCCCAATAATTCAATTTTTGATGAAATCAAACAAATTTAATTTTGGACCCCAATTTGGACCAACTTGAAAACTGGGCCCATAATCAAAAATCTAAATACATGTTTAGATTCAGCATATCAAAGAACCCCATATATTCAATTTTTGTTGAAATCAAACAAAGTTTAAATACTGGACCCTATCTTGGACCAACTTGAAAACTGGGCCCATAATCAAAAATCTAAACACATGTTTAGATTCAGCATATCAAAGAACCCCAAGAATTCAATTTTTGTTAAAATCAAACTAAGTTTAATTTTGGACCCTTTGGACCTTAATGTAGACCAATTTAAAAAACAGGACCCAAAATAAAAAATCTAAATACACGGTTAGATTTGGAATATCAAAGAACCCTAATAATTCAATTTTAGATGAAATCAAACAAAGTTTAATTTTGGATCCTTTTGACCTCAATATGAACCAATTTGATAACGGGGTCCACAAATAAAAAATCTAAATACATGGTTAGATTCAGCATATCAAAGAACCCCATATATTCAATTTTTGTTGAAATCAAACAAAGTTTAATTTTGGACCCCAATTTGGACCAACTTGAAAACTGGGCCAAAAATCAAAAATCTAAATACATGTTTAGATTCAGCATATCAAAGAACCTCATATATTCAATTTTTGCTAAAATCAAACAAAGTTTAATTTTGGACCCTTTGGACCTCAATGAAGACCAATTTAAAAAAAACGGGACCTAAATTAAAAATCTAAAAACACGGTTAGATTTGGCATATCAAAGAACCCCAATAATTCAATTTTTGATGAAATCAAACAAAGTTTAATTTTGGACCCCAATTTGGACCAACTTGAAAACTGGGCCCATAATCAAAAATCTAAATACATGTTTAGATTCAGCATATCAAAGAACCCCATATATTCAATTTTTGTTGAAATCAAACAAAGTTTAATTTTGGACCCCAATTTGGACCAACTTGAAAACTGGGCCAAAAATCAAAAATCTAAATACATGTTTAGATTCAGCATATCAAAGAACCTCATATATTCAATTTTTGCTAAAATCAAACAAAGTTTAATTTTGGACCCTTTGGACCTTAATGTAGACCAATTTGAAAACTGGACCCAAAATTAAAAATCTAAATACACTGTTAGATTCGGCATAACAAATAAATAAATGTGATCAAAGATTTTACAAATCTAATGCGCCATACTGTGCAATTAAAGATTACTTCTTGAAATTTTTCAATATTTGAAATTTGAAAAAAAAAAAATATTTGAAGAATAATTCTTTTTAATTTCTGAAATCTGAAATGAGAAAAAATTGACCCCCCACAATTTCTTTTTATCCCCCCCCCCTTTTTTCCCCCAAAAAATTCTTTCCCTCAAGATATGGTCTAAATCTCAATTCAAATTTCCAATGGAGTTGGCAACCATAATTACCCATTTAAATTTACCATAGTGCTAACTTAATCTATTTTATAATAGAATTAAGAATATAGTGTCAAATCTTTCATATGGATTTTTTTGTAAAAAAAAAGATGCAACATTTGCAGATATTTTTACTGGTCTTCCTTTATAAATATGCATTTCTTTAAACATAATTTAAAAGCAGTGTAAGGGAAGTAACCAAAACGTTGTATTTGGATTACCTCCCTTACACTGTTTTAAATTATCTTTATTGTTCATTAACCATTACTTTATACATAATTTAAAAGCAGTGTAAGGGAGATAATTTCAATGATGTATTTGATTTATCTCCCTTACACTGCTTTAAATTATGTTTTGTACTAAAGTATTTGTCCATTAACCAGGACAACCTTGTTTTTCCCCCTTTTTTGCCCCTAATTCCTAAACGGTTTGAGCCATAACCCCCCAAAGCAAATCCTAACCATCCCTTTGTGGTATGGAAACTTGTAGTATAATTTCAGAGAGATCCATACACCGTTCCACAGTTATTGTCTGGAAACTAGTAAATGCTTATTTTTGGCCCCTTTTTGGCCCCTAATTCCTTAACTGTTGGTACCATAACCCCCAAAATCAATCCCAACCTTCCTTTTGTGGTATTTAACCTTATGGTCAAATTTCAAAAAGATCCATTCACTTAAACTAAAGTTAGAGTGCGAAAACCAATGTGTATTCGGACGACGACGCCTGACGACGACGCCAACGTCATACCAATATACGACCACAAAATTTTTTTGCGATCGTATAAAAAATTGCCGAGCTAGTAGCAGCTATTACGTTTCATTGTCTACTGTTAAGTTGAAAGCCCACCGACTAGCTTTAGGTAAGAGAGCTAATTTCAGATATTCTTTTTCTTTTAAATCGCATTCAACGCAAGTAGCAGAATGCGAGGAATACAGAATACAATCTGATAATGGTGACGGCAACACCGTAAACTGTTTGTATAGCTTTATATTTCAGAGGGCAGAGGAACTGGATGATTCATACTTTGTATATAGATCCATTGTGTTACGAAGTTTCCGTCATATCCTTGACATCATATTCATGGTTAAGTGACTGCTAAAAAACTGTATAGCTTTTTTCGTCATGTGAAGGTCTCAATTATCATGAGTTCTAGGATAACTATATTTGGTTACTAATATATGGTATCCTTGCAAGGTCTACATGACCATCAGACATGATTCACCTGACATCGAAATAATTTCACGGATCAGAACAAGGTTAAGTTTCAGTGGTCAAGTCATGACCGTCAGACATGATTCACCTGACCTCGACCTAATTTCACGGTCAAGTCCGTACAGTCTCAGATAGTAGTGGGTTAAATATATTTGGTGTATGGAATGGTAACAAGGTATACATGATTTTGTAGCAGAGTTCATCTGACCTTACCTCATTTACATGGAACATAGATAGTGTTAATTTTATGTAAAACTTGTTGTATAATATAAAAATTAGGAGATGTGGACGCAAGCACTTATAGGCAACCGTACGGCCTTCGACAATGTGAAAAACTCATACCGTATGGTCGGCTATAAAATGGCCAGTAATGAAAAAAATGAAAGAATTCATTTGAAAAAAAACTAACGGCCTGATTTATAACAAAAGCTAGTTTTTACAGTAATGATGTTTATGATCATACATTTCTCAGACTATGATGACAGAAGTTTTTAACGACCTTGACTGGCTATACAGCCCTCGCACGGTCGGGTTCTCAGACTATTGATGACGTCCTTTCATAAGTTTTCAGTAAGGGCAGAGTTCGCGAAAATGGTCGGTCCTGTCGGTCCTGACCGCCAAAATGAGGCTCGGACCTGTATTTTGTACACTAACGGCGGTCCCGATGACCGATGCAAAAACGGCCGTTGCAGTGCATCGGTTATCAGATGTATTCGCGGTTAATTTTCGAGTTCGTTTTTTTTCATCGGTCATCAGATGTATCGGGGCTAATATCCGGTACTGGTTCCCTAATTTTATTATAAACAAACCAGTTACACATGTGGCCTATCAAATTTGTTAAAGGAGCTGTCCCTGGCAAACGATCGGCGCCAGATACTTCTGATGAAACAAAACAAAATAAAAGAAAGCAGTATGAGGGGGAACGTAGACCAGACCGCTCATTTTCTGCTAGTTGGCTGGAGAAAAGGGAATGGCTAAACTACGACGCTGAAAAAAAAATCATGACCTGTTTGATATGCATTAAGTACCCACGCGCAGGCGGTTCCAAGTGTATTGAACACTTAAAAAACCGGAACTTATTCATCACAGGGTGTTCCAATTTTAGATTAAGTTCTATCTTAGACCATGAAAAGTCTAAAAGCCATCAAGACTCTATGGCAAAACAACGTGCATCATTACAACCTAAAAAGACCCCAGCATACAATTCCTTACTGTCTTTAAATCAACATAGAAGAAAGCAACTAGAATTGAAATTTAGAAACACATGCAATAGTGAAACACAACCGCCCTTTCTCAGATTATATATGGCTAAATGAATTGGACAAAAGTAAAGGCCTAGATACGGGTGACACTTATAACAATGATAAAGCTGCTGTAGTTTTCCTTCAATCCATAGCTAATGTGACAAGAGAGAAGCTAGTTAAAATAGTGCAAAATATTAAGTTTTTTTCATTGACTATGGACGGAAGTACTGATGATTCATCTGTAGAACAAGAATCAATCTTTCTACGCTATTGTAACAAAGGGAAAGTTGAGCATAAATTTGTAACCATGGGTGAACCTGAAAGCACTTCGTCTAATGACCTATACAGTTTTGTTATTGAACAGTTGCATTCAAAAAACATTTTTAGTGAAATGAATAAATGTGTGGGCTTTGGCTCTGATGGGGCGTCAAACATGACAGGGGTAAGAAATGGCCTGATAACTCAGCTAAAGAATGATTACCCGAACATTATAGGGATTCACTGCCTTGCTCATAGGCTAGAACTGTCATTTAAGGATGCAATAAAAAAAAACCATGCCACATATGACAAACTGGTTACCCTGCTCTTAGGACTTTATTACTTCTATAAGAGGAGCCCGCTTCAGAGGAAAGGATTAAAGAAAACTTTCAAGGTATGACAACATATTTTACAGTTTGTTACACAAAGCAAATTATATTTCAATGTTGCAATTTTTTTTGACATATGACTTTATGATATTAAGCTTTATAAATGTACACTAGCTTTTTCTAGTTAAAATTGCCAAAAAGGTAAAGTACATTGTATATACTATAGTCTATATTAATTATAAAATAAAATTATGACAAAGTAAAAACATTCAAAAAAAGAAATGACTTAATGTACCAAACTATTTAAAACTAAACAAATAATTATAAATAAAATTTACTGTATTTCAAATTCTTTCCAGTTGTTAATGGTACAAGGTTGCCTACCAAAGTGTGTAGGGGGCTCGAGATGGATGCCACACATGAAGACAGCATTAGGGTCACTTTTTAAAAGTTACTCTGGGTATATAACTCATCTGCAGAACCAATCCCACAATAATCCAAAAGCAGAGGGACTGGCGAAAATCTTAGCAAGCCTGAATGTTGTGGTGTTTGCCTTGATGTTATATGTAAGCAGAATTTAATTTACCATGGCATTGTAATTTGTTATTTCAAGCTTGTAACTATTACTAACATGTCATGTCTGTCTCTGATTTTTAATGAACAGCAAGTAAATTTGGCAATAATCAATTCTAAGTAATTATACTATAGTATACATGTATTTAAGACGGAGAACATTACTGTTTTGATCAATGACGTTTAAAATGAAACAACTAACTGCTTCAATCAACATGAACAAGTGTATTGCAGTGACTGATAGTCATGATAATACTGAAAAGAAATATTGTTTTTCATATTTATTTGACTTATTTAATTTTTAGGAAGTGCTTGATCCTCTTTGTCGCCTCTCTCTGACGCTACAGGCAGATGAATTCACCTTAGGGGAAGCTATTCTGATGGTCTTGTCAACAAAGGATGCCTTAGCTCAACTACAGGGCCAGTATGTAATTTATGATTGTTTTCCCTTTTCTATATTTATTTTTGTCCAATTTCAGTTCAAAGCAAGACATTTTATTTTTTATGAAATCAGTTGAGTTCAACATTGTATTTAAAAGCAGCATGTTCATGTTTGAAAACAATAATTGTGGCATGTATCCCATAGAAAGAGTAAATATAGTATAATATCAATTCATCTTTTTAAAGGAAATCTGATAAAATGGTAGAGGTGATCGAGAGTAAAAGATTCATGGGGTATACATTGACATCTAGGGGTTTTATTTCCGTTGATAACACCAAACTCATAGACAACATATTGACTGCAATAAATACCAGATTTAGTGATGTCCTGCAAGAAGATCTGGAGCCAACAGTGATAAGCGCATTGAGACTCTGGCCTGCGGAGCTTACAGCAGGTATGCACATTCATATATGAAAAGCTCTTATTTGAAACCTTTTTGGGAAAATAAATGTTGTTTATTGTTACATATTAACTTCCAAGGATTTATTTTTAGATGATTAAATTAATAACAAAGCAAAAGCATTATGAAATACATCTGTCATCACTGATCAGTAGTAGTAGTACAGGAACTTTAAAGAATTAACAATTATAATTTATTTATATTGTGTGTTTTTTTTTATTTACAGAATATGACAGAAGGTAATAATATCATATATTATAGGTGATGGCTATACTATTAGTAGACTAATAATTTCTCTGTATTCACATATGATATATTTATAAACATATAAATCAATCATCCCATGCATTCTATCTTGACTTCACTGCTGAGTGCTCCATTAATAATACTACTAATACTATGCTTGCCACTGCAGTGCAGTGCTTACTGCTACTACCTAGCTTTTGTCTTTTAGTACTCTTTTTCCAACTGATGTCATTCATATTTTGTCTAATTGTATTTGACATTTCAATTTAAACCAGTATGTGATTTAAATCATGATTAAACATGTTAAATAAATGCATCATTTCCAAAGCTATATTTTTGAGGCCTCTACAAGTAAATGAATTAATCAATTTATTAATAACTGTTTTCAGATTTTGGTGTAACACACATTGAAAAATTAGTCAAAAGGTTTGGAACTGTTCTGAGGTCAACTGGTGTTGATATTGAGGAATTACCAGGAGAATGGAGACACCTTCAACGACTTGTATACCGCAAGTATGTAGTATGTGTTAATGTATATATTGTTACATATATACTAGTAGTTGCTCTTGTTATCACATTTATTTTTCCATTGCATGACATGTGATTATGTCAGTACTAGATTTTTTGTTTGCATATATGTACATCTTAATTTGGTTATGTATAATATATTAATATTATACATTTGAGTATGAATCGGAAAGGTTTTTTCTAGTCAATCTCAAATGAAAAAAAGAATTCAAAGCTCAATTGACAATAATGAATATTGAATTTATTAATATTTTGTTTTTCAGGTTTACACACTGTGCTTTGAGTGAAGTATCTTTGGTACAGTTGAATGAGAGTTTTTCATCTATGGGTGTTAACAATGTTCTTCTGCTGTTGGACATGTTAAACAGTTTGCCCCCTACATCAGTTTACAATGAAACTGCATTTAATCAGATGAAGCTTCTAAAGACTGATAGAAGGCATAGATTGGGTGGATCTCGTCTCGATGACTGCATGATGACTAAACTTGAGGCCCCTAGTGTACAGGAGTTTGACCCAAGTGATGCTATTGACAAATGGATGGTAATTTACTATTACAAAATATTTTGAATATTAAATGGTTTGAAATAATATTCCAATAAATTGACAATCCCGCTCAAATTTCTTTCAGTCTGTAAAAATTTGATTCTTCTGAAATGAGATAAAAGGTCCTTGAAAATTAGTATTAAAACAAAATTGACTCAGTCTTAAGCTTTAGGTATTTAAAATTGTTATGAACAGTTTACAGTAGTAAATCCACTATTCCCTATTCCCTAATGTGTTTTGAGCTTGGCATGAAATTGTGTGTTGAATTTGATTTTCTAGGGTTTTGAATACTGCTTTTGTTCTTATTTTCTAACACTGATAAAAATGTTTTTATTTCAGTCATGTGGACAAGGTTCAAGGAGAACACAGTACCAGAGGAAACTAAAATCAGCTGTGAAAGAGAATGCTAATAATAATTTAATTGCTGTGGACAGTGACAATGAATCTATTCAGGATGATAATGAAAATATTGCTTTTAATGAAAATGACAATGTTGAAAATGTTGACATGGACCAAGAGCTTGCAGATAAGGAACCTGAACCTGAAAATGAGAATCAGGTCCAGGATGAACTAAATGAGGATGTTACTGTAGATCAGGAAACTCTGCTTCTTGAACCTGTTACTAATGAGAACATTATTACTGTTCAAACAACTACTGATGAGAAAGATGATTCAGATGATGATGATGAAATGGAAACAGAAGATAACTTTGAATTTGAACAATCTGAAGACCAGAACTGGTCATTCATTGTGAAATTTTCTTGTGAAGAATAAAATTGATAATTTTGATTAAAAATGTTATTTATTTTATTTCAGGAAAAATTGATAGATTTTGTAGGACCAGCAAAAATTTTGTAGGACTGACAAATAATCTTGCTTAGTCAGTCCCATGACTGACAGGTCAAAAAAAGTTTTCGCGAACTCTGTAAGGGAATATCCATTTGATTTCGAAAACAGGGAGGGAATGAGGATTTTGAAAATGAATTACTTGGCCTGATATGAACTGAAATAATTGACTTTGCACAAGAAAGGATGAGAATGAACACTCTTCAACATGAAATGCAGGATACATTTGTAGTTGAGGATATGAATGTGTACAAAAGTGAAAATAAATTTCCGCGCCGCCAGCCCCATTCCTTTCTTTAGAATATAAAATGTTCTACCCTAACAGTGAGTACTATTATATCGGTACTTAGTGTTTTTTTGTCTTCATGTTAGTTGTTTTTGTGGTTCATGCCGATTTGATAAGTCAAGCCAATTCAAACTGTTTTCAGCAGATTTTTCTTATGCTGTGTTGTTATACCATTGTCCAGGTCAGGGGAGGGTTGAAGGATCACAAACATGTTTAACCCTCTAAATTCTGTATGTGTCTGTCCAAAATAAGGAGCCTGCAATTCAACGGTTGTCGTTGGTTGCTGTCTGTTGTACCTGTTTTTATTTTGTTGCACGAACGGTGGTATATTTTCATTCCCACAGAGCCTCGGAGGGATTTATGTCGAAAACATCATACAAGACTTTTGATTTGCCATATTCCGGGTGTGAAACAAAACCGACCGATTTGATTCTTATACTACAATTATAAAAAAATATTTATTCAATAAAAAGTTTAAAGTTTTAAAAAACAAACACAAAACAGATTTCGCCGAACAAAGTGACAATCTACAAAGTTAGCAGGCTATTCACAACAAATAAATCAACCACACAACAATCAAAAAAGAGTAATGTTTTGAGTGACCTCTGTCCTTGTTAATGACCTAATAGTGTTAGCAACAAAATGATTAATGACACGAGATAATCCGTGTTTAATGAATACCAAAATGTTGACTTAATTTGTGTTTTTAATTGCTAATTTCTTCAAAACGATTTTTATTTCACGCATGCAATTTGGTACACACATGCACTATATCTTATTGCTTAGATCAGAGTAAAAAATATTGTGATGATACACGTAATAATTTTGCTTTCGATGAAAATAGGGTAAATTTCTGGTAAAATTTTACTCTTACTAAAATGCTGAAATACTTATATCAAAATCACTTAAATACTTTTCGATTTCGTTATATGATATATTTAATATACAAACTATATTATAGGTACTGTTTTAACTACCAACAAAGTACGCAATAATTTTATTTTTCATGTTAAAGATTCCCCGTACAATACGGTATCTGGGTGTACCCTATAAAAACACGAAATTTAGAAAATCGTGACCACGGGAACTTACGACGACAATCATGATTGTAAAATATAATGATTTTCCTATAATGTGCAAAAAAATCAGCCGTGTGTTATCCGTTAACTTAAACTCGTTAACAAGAGGACTTTTTGGACATTGGGCACCCTCCTAAACTTGATCGAACTATACATGTAAAGGTTCAAGTTCATTGAAGGACTGGCAGGAAGTTAAAAATAAGTTCATGATTATAAACAACAGTAAAATAGAAACTGAAATGATATGGAGTAAATGTACATGGGACTAAAACGCACCCAATACATAGAAAACATAGAAAATTATCAATGAACATGGCTCACTATACAAATCCTTGACATGATCAACAAAAAATGACAATATTTACATCAGACCAAAGAAATGTCGATAAAAACCCTCTGATGATCTAAACTCCTGGAGGGTATTACACAATCTCATGATTTCACAATATGCATATGACTATGAATCATCATGAATCATTTTTATGGCTGACGAAATCAACCGATTCAACGAAATCTAAAAACTATCATGACTATCACACACGAAAAAACCTTTGATAAAGAAATGTTCATCTCTATCAACATGTCCAAATGTGTATATACCTGTTGTCTTGGGTCATCCTGATCCTGGTTCAATATCGAGTTTTCCAAAATAGGAATTATCCTGTATAGTTGTGTGACATGCGCAACATAGGAAGGGGAAGGTCTATTAACAGGGGTGTGACTTTTTACCCCAATAAACCCAACATACCCCAATATACCAAAATAAACAGTTTCAACATAATTTGATTCGATAGTAATGTTATTAAAGACATTTTAATTATATTTTAACAACAATAATACCTAATATTTTATAAATATGTTTAATTTTAAATCACTTTTTTCCTCGTAATTTGTTCCGTTCATGTCAGCTTCTTCTTCTTCTATTGCATGGATATCCTTCCATTCTAGAACACCACATACAGCCTTTCTGTATGTGTATTGAAATGTGTCACACAATTTTTAAAATTTATTTATGCTAATAAATTTAAAATCTAAAAGGACACTTTTAAACCGTATAAATATGGGGAATTAATTTTAAAATTTATATATGCGACTAAGTTTAAAATCTAAGAGGATACTTTTGTACAGTAAAAGTTAAGCGGGAATAAACTTAAAATCTTAGTACAAGGATACTTTATACAGTTAAGCGGGAAGAATACCCTGTCTCTCCCTGTTTATCTGTCTATATACATACATACAAAAATTTGGCAAAGCACTGTTCAGTAGCCACATTATATACAATGTCAGTTTATGATCATCTCCTTGTATCCTATATATCTGAGTTATTACTTTAAAAGTCTGATTCTATGTGTATGAAGTTTATAGCATAGACTTGCCGAAAGATTATGGATATTGATAATGTCCTGCTTCTTGAATAATGCACAGAAGTGGCTACAGTCGATTACAAGCTGTACAGTATCTTGTTTCTTTGAGAAAGTGTTTTTCCAAGTTTGTGGCCCAATGATGTTTATTGTACATGTTGTATACATTTTCAGTTCTTGAAAAGCTTCTTTTCTTTGTTTAAATAGAGCCGGACAGTCTAGCAAGAAATGAATCTCATCTTCATCGCTCAATCCACAGCATTTACAAGTAGGTGCTTCCTTTCCTCCTGAATATTTATATTTTAGACTTTGTAAGAGATATGTTCCAGTAATTAGTCGTGCTTTTACAGTGCCTTTCTTTATATCTGAGATAGTTGAATTTAGACTGCTCCAGGATGGGTGAGTGGATCCAAAGGTTAGGCAGTTTTGACTTAAATGTTTTAAGGTAGATTTTTGTGATATATCAGATTTTAATTTTTGTGTCCAGAACTCACGGATAGATGATTTAACTGTAGATTTCCACGATAGTTTAGTGGGCAAGCGTTGTTGGAGAGCAGTTATCTCTGGTAGTTGATATATTGTTAGAAGCGGTTGGATCCTGTTAAAGAAGCTTATTGGATTTGCATATTCATGAGGATTTGACGCTCAGAGAGATCCCTAATTGTACTGTTTTCGCATGAAAGTATATTATGGAGGAATGTCAGTTGCCTTTTGTGTATTTCTGCCTCAAGGGGCAATGCTCCGATAAGTAATAATACTGCACAGTTTGCTGTCCTGATAGGTAGAGATTGGAAGCTTTTCAAGTTCTTTAAATGAAATATATTTAATTTGTCCATCTGGGAGTTGTTTAGTGGTAAAATTTCCAATCCATAAATCAGTCTTGGTAAAACATAGCACTGGTAGATTTTATAAGATGTTGCCGGGTTTAATCCATTAGTTCCATGTACTCCGGTTTTAATAAGAGAATAAAGTGTTCTCCTGGCTATGCTCATTCTAGCATCAATATTAAGGTCGTTTTCTTTTAGTTCTGATCTTATGATTCCCAGATGGGTTGTTTCTTTGGAAGGATATATGGTGGTGTTGTCCAATGTCCAACTTAGTGTTGATCTATCCATTTTTGCGGATTTATTGAGAATGACAGCTTTAGTTTTTTCAGGGTGCAGCGTTACCCGGTCCTGTTTAGAATGCCAGATAGCGGTAGATACCATTGTTTGAAGTTCTGACGGGTCGCTACTCAAGAAAGCAATATCGTTTGCACATGTTGGGCAGCCTACGTAGGTTGTTCCAATTTTTAATCCGATATTATGTGTTTTTAGGTCCTCAAGGAGGTCATTCACATACATTTTATATAGAAAGGGTGACAGTACTCCTCCTTGTCTTACTCCTTCTTTGATGCCAAAAGAGTGGCTGAGGATACCTTTCCATTTGACTTTTGATGTCAGTCCCGAATAGAAATCCTTGATAACTGTCCATAATGAGCTATTTGGAATATTTTCATAGAATTTGTCCATCATTATAATGTGGTCTACTACATCAAACGCTTTTTTACTATCTACTGTCATGAGAAATAATGAATCTAATGTTGTATGTTTGGATTCAGCTCGCGCTTCATTGATGATAAAAGCGGCCATTAGCATGCAGAGTCCCTCTGTAAAGCCAAATTGGAGAGTAGAAAGCAAGAAGATTTTGGAAAGACCTGGGAGGATGGAACTTTCAAAGAGCTTGGAGATAATAGGCGTCACTGTAATGCCTCTGTAATTGTCCATAATAGATGCTTCTTTTCCATTTCTCAATACTGGTGTAAGAATTCCAGATTTGAGATTGCCAGGGACTTTCGTTCTTTCAGAATTTTTCCAAATAGGTTTGTGAGAAACGTTGTAACAGAGTACGGAGAATTTTTAAGATGTTCAGATGAGATTCCAAATTCATCAGCAGCTTTTCTACAATTGAGTTTTTTTATCGCTGTAGCTTAAGATCGGTATCAGGTCGTTCCGTCAACAAGCCTGTCCGGCCCCAAGTCGGATGTCCCACGTCGATCCGGCCCAAAGTTGATCCGGCCCCATTAAAAAAATAATGAATTATGTATATTAACTTCGGAGGATTTGGTGACGTATTTGAATCAGGATAAATCAGGGACTTTCTATACTAACTTTAGTATGAAAAGTCCCTGGATAAATGTAATTTACGTAAATAGTATCGATGATTAATGTATATATAATAATTATATGTCTCTGCATGGCTTAATATTGCCAGGGTACATTCAGATGAATTATTTTAAATGAGTATGATTGGTACTGTTTGTAAAATGAGTATGATTGGTACTGTTTGTAAAGCAGCATCAGCATATAAGTA